CGAGCACCATCCTCCAAACTGATCACATTTAAGCACATCTCTGCCGGAGGACATCCGATGTCATCGTCGGTTTGCGTTTCATCGAAACTGCGATATGCGCGGACCGTTAACAAACCGAATTTCTTCTTACCCAATGTCTGTTTCTGAAATGATCACACGATTCATTCAGTTGAGCATCACATACTGTGTTTAATTGTCGACTAAACACGCTTTGAAGATGTGTGATAGGATAGTGATGATAGAATAATAAACGATAATTACTGATGATTTCGATAAACATTAAGATTGTAGTGTTCATCAGGAGTAATCGACAATTGAGATGTGATATTAATTCGATAAAGAATATGATATTCGATAAAGCTTGAGGCGAATATACTGATAAACTTACCAAATCCTCATTTTCTCGCCATATCAGTTTCTGATAAACACTTTGGCGAAGTGCTTTTCGTTGTGTTTCACTCAGACAAAAAACAATCGGTTTTGGTAGCAACGATTTCTCGAGATTCGATACGGGACGTTGCTTCTTTTTGGTGGTTACGGATATTGACTGCAGTTTGTACGCTTGTTTTTGGTACTGAAGTCGAGATGACCACATTATCAATAGCCATAATTGCATTCATTTATGAAACAATTGTGAGTTGTAAATAGTGAAGAGAATTTCTGCAATGATTTAGAAGTAACAGAACCTCCTCTTTTCTACGTCGACTTTCAGCAATCCATCTTTCACGTTGCTCGTCACTCATCTGTTTCCAGTCTTTATTCGCCCTCTCCATTAATCGTTTTGTGCTCATTTGATTTGAGCAGTTACTACCATTTTCTGCCTCATAAATAACTCGCATCGCTTCGGCAAAATACATAAATCCATTGGATCGACGTTTTTTTGTCATTTCTTAAATCATTCACTATGCAACAATGCAATGCTCATCCAGGTGAGGTTCCTCTCACGCCACACATAACTTCTTTTGAAAGTGATAGCCTGCTGGAAGCTCGTGATCACAAAGTGATCACATTACATACATATCGCCGGACCAGATTTCTTCTCATATTCAGATCATATGGGTCAGATCAGATTTCCGTTGATGATCAAATTGCATCGAGCTCGTTTGGAGAGAAAGACGGAAGCTGCAACAAACCGAACGAAACCAACCTGTGACAAAATAATAATATTAATAAAGCGCTTGGTTGAGACATTCCTGCAGATGAGTAAAATGGATGCAAATTTTCGCACATAATAATGTCGATTTCATGCAAAATCAACGAGAGTGTGCTGGTTCAAGAAATTTTGCATAAAAAGCAAAATTGCAGATGTAAATTTTAAAATAATCAATGGAAATTCTACTGTACACTATTTATTTTGATTC